TTGCCTAATATTGAAAGCTGTCCTTAAAGCTCCATTTCAAGATGTGCATTTAGGAGGTCCTTTTCGTTATGCAATTGATTTGCAGCTATGAAAGATGTTCAACAAATTGATGGGAGTTGGTTAGAAGTCACATAAGTGGAGAGGAATATAATCACATGACTTTGACTTCCAAGCCTTTTTGCCTTGGTCCCACAATGGGATTCGTGGGTTCAATGGAACAAGTTGGCACTGTCATTGAGGTCAAGTCTTTTGAGAAGTCACGTCAGCATTATAGAGGGTTTTTTTCTAATGAAAAAATATTACGTCCGGAGTTCTGAAGCAGAGCTGTGTTCGGACAACGGACGTGATACAACAAAAAGGAGCGGAGCTCGGACCTCCACTGTATCACATCTGTTGTCCGGACACAGCTTACATCCGGACTCGGGACGCAATATTTTCTCCTTTTTAACAAGTTAGACCTCTTACTCTACTCCGATTGAAAGCATATAAACAAATTGGTAGAGTGAGTTGGGTGTGTGAGGACACCTTGAAATTTTCTCTAGAATTTTACCGATTTGAACCCAAGAAACAGCGAATGAAATATTTTTAAACAAACAACACACAAAAAAATAGAAAAATATTTATCTATACAAGAACACATGTACAAGTGCTGGTGATAATTTATATAACATGTGCATTTTACAATGGCAGTGATCAAGATTATGTACAAGATATATGATATAAATTCAATTAAATTGGCGCATAACCATACACAAGTGAAGCAATCCTACGGGTATAGCATTTTGTATTTGTAGGAAATGTTAAGCCCAAGTATAAAGAAACTACTAGGCTCATGAGTATTATTTGCTCAACTATAATAAAATGAACGGATGTGTAAAGCATGAGTCACTCCATAAAGAAGAGAAAAGCTAAGGAGAAGTGGAAGAGAGGAGAGACAATTTTATACTTCTGATTCATGGGTTAAATATGTTTGTTGCGATTGTCAGCACAAATAAGAGCAATTGCTAGTGCAAGTTAGCGATTTAAGCTAACAAAAACAAAACGAATGAGCAATTGTGAGCTCAAATATATTTATGATAAATCTTTTTTTTTATTAATATATCAATTGATGTAGTTGGAATGGATGCTTTATTGGAGAATATGTGTAGCTGCAGTGGTGGACAAGATTAGAGAGAGTCGTCTTAGATGGTTTAGTCACATTAAACGTCAACCACGTGATGATTTTGATAGGAGAGTAAATGTTTAATGTTTGACAGCCAAATCGATGTATTTTTGAAGAGCAAAGGCAGTCAACTAATTTGCTACTCACTGAAAAATTTTAGGGATAATTACACAAGACCAAAAATTTACAAAATCTAACACCCAGGCGATATTTTTGAACAACCAAACCAATGTACTCGTGCATTCCATGATCAAATCCTTGAGATTGATAAAAAATGAAAAACATGGGTTGGGGTTTTGTTATGAATTTTGATATTTTGAGTCAGAATTTGAAAAATGGATTGAAAAGGGCGGTTGATCTGTAAATAGTAATGTTTTGGGTGATATGTATGTAAACAGCCCTAAATTCTAACATTGCCCTTACAAACATTAACATAATGATATGTATGTTCTTATTTTAAAATTGACATCAAGTAGGATGTAAATGAATCAAATCTAGCTTAGTAGGGAAGGTTGTTTGAAAATGAGCTCGAGCTCGAGCTCAAATTTGAGTATTTGTGATAGTGTTTTGACTTTGGTTTGCTAAATGATCTTTGTTGAGTCAATAATGAGTAACATTATAGCAGTTTGCTTAGTTAATTTGATTGTATTTTATCGGGCATTATATATAATCACATGTTAAATATATGGTTAATAGCCAACATATTATCGCGCTTTAATCATTTTTTTTAAAAAATAAGTTTGTTCATAAGTTTTAAACGTTTCTATTTGCGAACCGATCATCCAATTGTTTAAGCTTGAGTGCACACAACACGGACGGACATAAATTTATTCATCAAATTTCGCTAAGTGTAATGTTAAAATATATTTTATCAGATAAGCTTTTAATAATAAAATTAATTATCTAAATGCTTTTTTTTGTTATATATATTCTTTATTGATCTCAATACATTATATTACTAAACTGTTTATATGTTAGTGGCTGTTTAGGTATTTGCCATTTTTCTTAAATAAAGCATTAAGTACCATTTCTTCTATTATTTTAAAGGGTAAAAAAAGTTTATTTTTAATATTAAATTAAAAGTAATTTTATGAATCAAAAAAGCTAAAGATGTAGGTTTGATATTTAATTAAACATGTAATTATAAGAAAGGCAGAGGATAATTATATAAATGTGATTACCTGAAAATATTTTGGGGCATTTACATACATGTGGCCCAATTCCTATGTGTTCACATATATAGCTCCAAAATTTAACTTTTTATATCTATACCCCCAAACTTTTGGCATCACAATAATTGGGACTATTCTAACTTGAAAAAAAAATGAAATACACCTTTTCATGCTTATATGAAAAAATTGAAGCTTGGATCTTAGATATGTAAATACATAGGAATTAAGAGGTATATATGTAAATCTTCCAAAGTATTTTTGAAAATTTTGATAATACATCTAAGATTTAGTAATGAGATAAGATACAGATGACTTGTTGAAAAAAACAAAAAATTGTGACAGATGCTTAAAAATCTTTTACATTAGTAAGGTTTCACAAGCCGGGTGTACGTGTATTTATCAACGTTAAAATTGGTTTTGGTTCTGAAAGTTACTCTTTTACGTTGTGGGGCATAATATTTTGATGTACTTTGAAGCAATCTAGAAGTATATATATTGTGGCTGACATGCAAGGTATAAAACCCCTCAGGTCGGGGGTTCGAATCTCCTTTGACACAGTTTGTCTTAAGGAGGTGGTACTCGAATTGTTAGTCACATTAGGGGTGGTTGAAGACTCATATAATAGCCACCGGTCATTCCCTAAAAAGGAAAAAAAATGTATTTATGTGCAACTATTTATATATTCAAAGTATGCTCGGTAGAAAAGTTGGATAAAAATAGCTTGACTAAAATTTAATTTAAGGTGGACCCATACACAATTAATTAATCAAAGTTCATAAAACATTCATGCCCAATAAATTTACAATAATAACTTTATCAAAATCAAATTTAACTCAAGATATACTAATATAAATTTTTTTTTTGCCATACTTGTAGGACAATATCAAAGGAGGCATTAACCTTTGTCTTTCAAATAGAATGCAAAAGTTCAAATCTCCTAATCAAAACCTATGAATTTAGCTATGTATTTATAATCATGTATTGAGAATTCATCGAATTCAGCAGCTAATAATTAGTTTTATGCTTATTTATTAACTTATCTAAGTGCTAACCTGATTAATTTAGGCAAGTCAAATATACGCCAAGCTTACTCATGGACAATTCTAAACAAAGTATAGACATATGTATGAAGATATTTGTTTGAGCTTACGCCGAATTTGAACAGTTTGAAGTACATAAACAAGTTTCAATCAATGATAGAGTTAACTGAGCTCGTCTCAATTATAGCCCTACATGGAACTTCTACTTAGTGGGATAAAGGCTCGTTATTTTTGTTGTTATAATTAACACGATATGAAAACTCGCCCAAAGTTAATGATTTAAACTTCTAATAAAAAGTAAAAATGGACCATTTATTTTCAAAATATCACCTAAATACTAAAATTCACAATAAAATTCAACTCATATTTTTCTCTTTTATGATATTACCAGCAGCTTGATCATTTCATGGGTAGATACACAAATTCAGTAATTATATATATATAAAAAATCATATTTCTTAATTTTGTAAACAAAACATATGCATAAATATTACTAAAATCTCTCTTCCCAAACACAAAAAATATAATCTTAAAACAAAAGCTCTTGATAGCGCATCATACCCAATGCTACATTAGTTATTTAACCATGAGATTCATGCAGGATCTTAATATTTAAAAACAGCACATATATAAAAATCTATACATGCAAAATCATGCCAATGAAGATTGCAATTGAATCTCCTAGATCATAAATCAGTGTCAAATTTAATACACTAATAACATCTAAGATGCCAGACCACATTGCAATTTAACCTTAACTTGTCCATGCTACTAAAATTGCCTCATCAATAAACTTTGAAATTTGTGCCAATTAACCTATCAATATTTATCTTCTATAATGACATTTTGTAGCTTTTCTTTCTTCCACAATGTTGTCACATTGGAGGGAAAAAAAATTGTCTACTTTAGTGTCATATTTAAGAATTATTTAGAGGTATAATACATGTCAATGTGAATATCATGTTTGTAATTGATAAGCAAAGGCCAATTTACAAAATGTTGAAGCAAAATCATAAACTTAATAGTAATCATATCTTGATATCATAATGCAATGGACAAGTTCTAAAAATGCCATATTTCTACATAAAATCATGCTGCAAATGTACATGTCCCTACAAGTAGTTCAGATTGATAAGGGTCTTGAAAGTTATTGCCAAGATCTTCGATTCGATTCTTGTTTATATGATTGTAAACTTTCACCTAAGGAATTTTTGGGTGGCACACAAAGATAACAAAGCCACAATAATGTTCTTTAAGATGTATTTCTTTAGTAATCTCTCTTTGTGAATTGTCAGTGAAAGAGGTCATACAGAGGCCAAGAATTCTTCGATGTTTTGTAATTTTGACAATCTTTTCCTACGCCTTAGAAAAGCTCTCTCCAATTATATGTAATTTTTTGACCTTTGTTTCTTCTATGTTCTTGCAGGTTAAGAAAATGATATCAAAACTATATTACTATATAGACAAGTTAAGCAAGGTATGATTAAACATAGAAAATTACAATACTCTCAGGATACAGAACTACTAACACTCTCCCACATCCATCACAGAAAAAAAATGTAACCAAATTTCATTATAAACTCATTGAATTTGCTTCGAAATGAACTGAAAATGAAAATTGATTAATTAATCATGCATTGAACTAATATCAAAGTAAATTTAATGGTTAGAAAATTCATTTGATGAAATTTAGGCTACTATAACTTACCTAAAAATTCTCCCTATTCTCACACATTTGGAGCTGATAGCGCGGAACTGTACTTCTTGCAGTAATGCCGCAATCTTTCAGCTTTGGCTTCAGAATCAACAACATTTGCAGTTCCCTCAATCATTTCATTTTTTTGCGCAATCCATCCATCTATGATGCAAGAAATTCTCAAAAGCTGCAGTAATAATCATCAATGTTAAGAAAATAACCAGGTAAATAACAGCAGTAATATACATGTAGAAACTTACCGAAATTTACATACGAAGCACACAATTCTCATGCATTTACATGTCTCACATCTAAACTTTGATATTTACATATATATAGCACCTTGGTGCTTTAAACTTATGCATGAAAATATACATTTCACTATTGAAAAAGCGGTAATGCTGCTATTTTTGACGTGACATTAAAGATATGAGAGTTATGCGTGTAATATGAAAGTATAGGTGCGAGATATGTAAATACATAAGAATTGTGAAATACATACGTAAATGCCCCAAAAAGATAATAACGAATTCAATTTTCTGACTAAACTATCCACTAAAAAGGATACAGTTCTAACAATTGCACCAGTGTTGGAGGCATTTAGATGGCTGGAATCCTCCATTTGATGACCATCCAAGTCATCCATAATGAGACTGGACTTCTCTAGTAATAACGAAACAAGTCGGTAAAGGGATGAAATTTCGATATCTGGCTCTGCGACTAGAGCGAACAACCACTCTAAGATGCACCAGAGAGCGTCACGGGCTTGCGGATCGTCGGAAACAAAAGGGATGGTTTCGAGCAGACCTTTCAGGAATTCATGATCTAGACATACCAATGCTAAACCTATTAGCTGCAGCTTGGTAGATTTGTAAGAAGAAATTTGTTGAAAGCCTATTTTGTTTCCTTACCTTGTGAAAGTTGTGATGCAATATGTTGTTCGTCCACCAAGAGGTTTGCAATTATAACCACAGCAGCGACACAGGAGCTAGTGTACTAAACCAAATATATAAGCTGTTATATGCATAAAATAGATGCGAGAAAACATAAATTTTGCTTTTATTGTAAGATAAAATGATTTGGAGCCTTCAAGGTCCAACAATCCATTCTCAAACATGATTTAATCAAATTTGACATTTAGCTTCATAAACTTGTAGGACTACAAAAGGAAAGAAAATTATAATGAGTTCAAAAAAGGTCAAATCTTAATAACGGCTTAAAGCATTTTGTTTTACTAACAAAGGTATATGTGATTTATAGAAAAGAGTGAATTTAAGTGTTGATTATTTTTTCTTTCCTGGAAGAATCCCTGTTTGGATCACACACAAAATCAATAAAATTGATGCCAAGCGAGAATACTGTTACAACCTTCTCCTTTTTCCCATTCTCATCGTCTTCCTTACCTTCTCTCACTCTCTCTCTTGATACAGACAGACAGACAAAACCCTCTCTCTCTCTCTCTCTCTCTTTCTCTTAGCACACTTAACCTGCAATCCTAATTTTTGTAGCGAATGCATCACATTTTGGAGCCAACGGGTAATGAAAACTATTGAAAAGTCATTAAGGCAACAAATCTTGCCTCAAGGCCAAACAAAAAAAAAAAAAAAAACTATAATTACATACAAAGAACCCGGAACATTGATATACAAATTAAGCACCAAAGTAATTTTTTTTGGAACTACCGAACCGATATATTTATGCATGCCACGGTCAAATTACTGAGAATTTGATAAAAATGAAAAATATAATTTTGATATTTGAAATAGAATTTGAAAAATGAATGAAAGTGGGTGGTCGATTTGTAAATACTAAGTTACGGGTGGTCTCGTATGTAATTACCCCTAAAAAAAGAACAAAAAAGGAAAAAAAAATTAGCTCGCACACATGCCCGGTTGCAAAACTCCAGCTATAGTCCTGATCATGTTTTGGCCAAAGCAAGATACTTCGGCATACTGTAGAAGAAGCAACAAGTGTGGGTGCTTATCCCCACTTCGCACAGAAACTCTTGTCATTTACTTTTATTCTTTGGCAGTTTATTGAGCCAGAAATCATTTTGTACGCCAACTATTGAAATTCATGAAATGGCGTGACCCAATTTAGAGGCAGACTCATATCTAATCTGTGGCTCAGATAATTATTTTTTAATTATTTTTTAAATATATATGGTTAAGTTTTGATCATTATTTTGACATGTGAAATGGCTTGGAATTGCGTTAGATTTTTTTTTCCCTTAAATATATCTGGTTAAGTCTTGATCATTGTTTTCACATATGAGGTGGTTTGAGAATGTGTTAAGTTTTTTTTTTTTTTTAAATATGGTAAAAGCTTAAAATAGTCTCCCGGCTATTAAGAAGTGTCCAATTTATGTAATTGACAATATTTATGTGAGTGTGTGTGTGTGTTCTGAAAGAATATTTGTGTAAAAATATAAGTGAGTCACAGTCAATCACACAGTTTTATCATTCGCATACATAATGTTTTAAATGTAAAATAAATTCATTCATTAGTTTTTCAAGTTAACTTTAACTATTTTAAAACTCATTCTCTAATAAATAATATTAAAATTAAAAATTCAATTGAAATAGAGTAATTTATATAATTTCAGATTAAGCGAGCTCATATTCATAATTCTTAATTATTTTAAAATTTCTCATTTAAAAATAAAGTGATGACTATTGTAAAGATTTATTAATACAAAATAAAAATTATAATTTTTCAACAAATAAAAAAGAAATTTATATACAAATCACATAAATTTTGAATAATTTTATAGAAGACAAATCTTTCAATTAATGCAGACAACTGTTAAATTTAATTGAAAATATGATTTAGGATAAATTTGGAGCATTCTAAAATTCTGGGACTAAATTATACACTTTTTAATATTTAGGGACCATTTTTCTCTTTTACTCTTTTTAAATATATGTCTAAGTTTTTATCATTGCTTTGACATATGAAGTGGCTTAATATTGTAAATAGCAGTGTTTTGAGTGCAATGTATGTAATTGCCCCTATAATCTATTGATAACTTGTTATGATCAACACTACTAAACTGTTCAAACAATGCTCACCTCATATTTCTCATTAAGCTTGATCACACGGCAGACCAAATGACAGAGTTCCTCATTTGGAATGGTAATTTCCGAACCACACTCCGTGGAAGAAAGTGCTTCAACTAAGCATAAAATTGGATCAAGAAAAGATGGCCTGCTCATAATTCAAATAAACAAACAGTTAAACTAAAGAGAAATTTACTTACCACTCAATTCTTATGTATTTACATATCTAACATCCAAAGTTCTATATTTACAGTTGTAATATCTTGGTGTCATAAATCTATGCATGAAAATGTGTATTTTACTTTTACAAAAATAGTGTTGTGGGTTCCAAAATTTAACAACATTAAATTAGTCACACTCTCAGTTGGGTCGCCTTGCCTATACGTTAGGGGGTGATAAATTTCATCTTTCACTAATCTTATCTTCCTCGTGATTAGGACAAGAGTTGACAAGACTGAGTCCCCGTCCAAGCCAATCGATCCTTCTTACAAGATATGGAGTTGACAAGACCGATACTTAATGATATTCAAATAATAAGCTATAATCAATATTAAATATGAATATTCTAAGTATTTCAACCAATTCTCCAATAATGACCGTGTTAATTGTAAATTTCAACAGAAATGATCGACACATAAAATTAAGATTTTAAATTATACAAATAAGAAAAATATTTAAATGAAAGTCTATCATTAAAGCTTAAAGGCAAACAAACAATTCACTATCCGTAATCGCTTCTCGAGAGTGATAAATTTAAGATTAACAAAAACTTACAAAGAATCAATGTCATATAAAAATATACTACTAAATTCACACTTAAAATAATTTTGTATTAGAGAAAACATGGTCCGAATTCTCTGTCTAAATAATTTGGCTAGTAGGCTCCACAAAAGAATGATACGAGTAGGACCCACTAACAAAATGATTTGACCAGTTGAATTCATTATAAAGCAATCACAGCTGCAACTAATACGCTCCCTAATGAGTTTCAGCTTTAAGTTGTACAATAAGATTTACCTGATATGACAAAAAACTCTCTGTAAGCTAAGGTCGACTTAGATTAACCCACTTAGAAAAAAATCCAGACCAGGACTACAATTTTCCATTGGACAAAATTATGGTTGTTGATAAGTAACATTTTGTCAGGTTAGGATGATTGTCACCTCTAGCTAAGTGGATCAGGGATCATGACAGCCCGAAATAGTCGAACCATAGGATCTTGGAACCCAGGTAAAATATTATATTAGATAGGGGAATTTGCCGATCATTTATGAAATGTTTTGCAGACCAAACGGATGTCACACTCCTTATTTTAGGTGGTTGAGTCTACTGTCAAGTGGTACGCTTATCTTTCGGGATAGTGTATTACTTGTAGTATCACGCTCAACCATCCAAACCGTTCAATATGTGAGACTCGTTTGGTCTCATCTAATTTTAAATTAAAATGTTACTTTAAAAAAAATCATATTTACATCAAAACTATTTTCATATTTTACAAAAATCATCATTTTAAAAAATAACGGCCGACAAATTCTGGCGACTCTGCAGGAGACTGATTCCTCTCTCCATCTTTGATCATGTGGTTTTCTTTTCATACATCGGTAGTGTGCTCATGTCCCTCATGGGCCAGACTGCTTTTCTTCTGTTGACATACTGTGTTTATTTCTTCCTTAAGTCAGTATAGTTAACTCTTTTCAGATTCCAAGACTGTCTGCTTAACCATCCTTAAGCAGAAGGGTTCAGGAATCCTTAGGGTTTAGTGGGGTGGACTCCCAATAGGTGCGATAGATTAGGAGTGGTCTATCTAAATGAATCTGATGTGAGGCCGACACCCTCCAATTCTTAAACCAGGTCTTACGCTTCATTCCTCTTTGATCTTAACTTGTTGCGAACAAGTTAACACTAAAATTTCACTTTCACAATCTTCCTTTTAAACTCCAAACAAAACAAAATTTCATCAAAATTTCAAAACAAAACAAATCATAAATTTTGTTACAAAATTCACATGAATAAATTTTAACGGATACCCAGTTCATAAGACAAGTGCGTTAACTTGAGTACTGTCGCCGAAATTGCAAGGCATTGGGCGTCACTAACTTCTAGAAAATTTTCAAATGACGGATATAATGTCTTCACCAAAGTTGACATTTTCTTTCGCCACTGAAGTGAAGTTTGTTGTCAGCAAGAGTGAGCTGCCTGACTTGGAGGTCATTAAATTTGGACAAGGATTCGACGATATTGAAGCCAAGTTCGGGAATGTCGCTGTTGCCGTAATGAAACCTGAAATGGACAAGTTCGTCGAGTCTGTGATGGAGTTTAACTTGAAGTCTGCTAAGGAATTTCACCCTCTGAAGAGGGTGTTGATTGAAAGAATTCTGTTGTTGTTGCAAAAGTCTGCCACTATGAGCGGCTACGCTCCCAAGACTATTTCTGCTTCTGCCGCTGAATTCACCGCTACTACACCAACTGTTCCACTAAACAAAGAGAAGCAGATTCTATACGAAGAAGTGTCAGTCGATGCTTTTGCCCCGCCGTTTTCTGTATTCAAGATTGGGTCCAATTCAAAGTCCATGCGACTGATCAAGACACAAGAAAGGAGGTGCAACCAAAAAATTCTAAGGACCGAGAAGGCGAAAGCCACAGAGTTGACTACTGACATCGCCCTCCGACTGGATGTGACAGGATGACGTGATACCTCACCTCTACTCATGGGGAGTAGGTTTCACCAGTTGCCTGCTACCTACGGAGAGGATGAAGTCTATGAGATTGCTACCACATCACCACCACCATCTCTCCACAATGGTCCAAGGCAGGTGACGACATTCGAAGGAAAATCTGAGATAGTGGCAGTGGTGGACAAAGGATACTCTTTTAGAAAAGAAGCTGTAGCAAAGATGTTTCATGATTTGATTAAAAATTCCAAATTTAGATTACGAGAGCCAAAGAGGCCGGAGGAAGTCGACAAGAAAAACCATCCCAATTACTGCCCCTACCACAAACTGCTCGGACATACTATAAAAAACTGTATCAGCTTCAAAAAATGACTCGAAAAGAATTTAAAAAATGGAAACATAATAATTTCGAAAGAATATTTGACAGAGCCTGAAAGAGGTTCTATCAATATTTCTATCAATATGATTTCATATGATTTCAGCTGATCCAGTTGCTCCATCTGACTTCTACACAACTACCCCAGTGCTCAACAAAAGAGGTGAAGCTCATAAAAAACCTCAAACTGACCTTAAAGTTGTCAAAGGAAGGCCGATCAAGGATACATTGGAAAAGCTTCGAGCCGACATTACACGGTTGTCTGAAGAACGAAGAAAATATATGGGTGATGAACCCTACGACCCGTCAAAATATGAGATAGAAGAATTTGCAGAAATCAACGTTGTTGAGGCCAGAGCCACCTTATCCTTGTGCAATGCTCCTTCACCCACTGAGGAGAATGACGTGGATGAGTTGCAAAGAGTCACTCAACAACGTGATGAACATATCAACCAGATGAAGGAACAACTAGAAGAAATGACGACCGCTATAGCCACTATTCAAAGACAATCACAGTCACCGCCGATAGTACCCCCAGGGGCAAGCCATCCAGAAAGCGTCCGGATCGTTGATGATAAGAAGAAATTCACTTTTGTCAATGAAGATGATCAACCAAAGAAAGACTCAGTTCATGAATCAATACCAGAAAAAAATATTAAACAAATGGTAAAGCAACATGTGAGAGAAGCCCTGACTCAGTCAAAAGGAGAGGCATTGATTCTAAAGGGTAGACCCTATACCGAAGAATTTGATGATGTCTAATACCCTAAGGGTTTTCTATCACTGTCGTTCAAGACATTTGATGGAACGGGAAACCCCCGACAACATGTTGCACACTTCTGAGTAAGTTGTGGCAATGCGAGGGGTAGTGATAAGTTGTTTTGTCGTCAATTTGTGAGCAGTCTTTTGGGAATCGCTTTTGACTGGTACGCCGAACTGCCCAATGGCTCAGTGAAAACAATTGTAGAATTGGAAGACCTCTTTGTTAAGCAGTTTGCTAGAGTTAAACACCATATCACCATTGATGATCTCGTGGTGGAGCGATAGAAGCCAACCAAAACATTGATGAACTACATTCTGCGACGGAGAAATTTAAGCATGAAGTGTGAGCCACAACTCCAAGAGCAGCACGCAGTTGAAATTCTTCTAAAGAGCATCCATGGTCCAGTGGGTTTCTTACTCAAAGGATTCACTATCAAGACATTCGAGAAACTGCTTAGAAAAGTTGAGAATCTTCAAGAAGAAGCTAAACAACTTAGGTTTTTTTAGAAAACTAGAAAGCTAGAGCCATTGAAGATATCTGAGAAGAAAATCTGAGAAGAAATCAGAAGAAATCTGGGACAGTAGCAGTGGTTGATAGGGGCAAGCGACCGTTGCAGATACAAGTTGAACAGTCTCGACAGATCTATCAACTTCCTCGACAGAATGGTCAGCAATCATTTCGACAGAGTTCTTATCAAACAAATGGAGGGAAACCCCCGAACATAAAGAATCGTTTGAAAAAAATATATCCTTTCAAGGATGAGGCAGTCGAACAAATGTTTCAAAATTTGATAAAGAAACATGAGTTCAAGCTCCCTAAACCAAAGAAACCAGACGAAGTTGATGAACAAGATCATCTGAGGTACTGCCCATATCACAGGCTGATCGAACGCACCATAAAAGATTGTTTCACTTTTAAAGATTTGCTTGAGAAGAAATTCAAGAATGGGAGCATAGTGATCCCGGAAGAGTATTTGAAAAGAACCTAAAAAATGTTTTATCAATATGATTTCAATCGATCCCAATGCTCTGATTGACTCTGAAGCAGCTAACAAAGAATGAAACGTCTTTTAATTACTATTGTACTATTTTTGTTGTTGAAAGGGATGTTAGTGGTATCAATATTTGTCTGTCCCTCCGCTCCCACCGCAATAAAATAATAAAAGAACATGTTTTTCAGTCAGAACTGTTCAATGTTTGGAAAGCACAGTTAACAAAACATTCAGATTTCATCTCAGAGTTCATCAAGAGGACAATCGAGAAAGGAGTAATCCAAGATAAAAATTCCAGCATCGTGAAGAAACTATGATTTCAGGGGAAGATGAAATTAATGCTCTA